GCTTGTATTACAAAAGAAAAAAGGTCTTAAATCAATAAATAATCTCAGCTTCCATATTTAGTAAGTCAGGATGGGGGAGGGGAGGAGAGCAACTGAAACTCAAATTATATGGTGGGAAAATGAATAGATATCAGAGCAGAAGTCAGGGCAATAAAAAAACAGAACAAGAGACAATCAATGAAATCAAAAGATGATTCTCAGACAATATCAGTAAAATTGAGAAACCACTAACCAGCCTAAGAGGAGACAAATGGTCCATAACAAGAATGAGAGGTAATAACTACTACAAATTCTACAGCTATTAAAAAGACAATAAGGTAAAATAGTAAACACATTTAACTTTGACAACTTAGACAAAAATGAAATTCTTTGAAAGGCACAACCTACTCAAGAAATAGAGATCGACAGAATAGCCATCTACCTTAATTCAAGGTTCAAAACATTCACCAAGTGAAACCTCCAGGCCTAGACAGCTTCATTGGTGAACTCCACCAAATAGCTAAGCAAATAACACCAGTTCTACACAAACTTCTCCAGAAAACTGAGTAACAGAAAATACTCGCCAATAGTCCAGCATTACTGTGATAGACAATATTACAAGGAAAGGAAACAGCAAATCAATACCCCTCAGGAACAGTGATACAAACGTTCAAAAAAAAAAATTAGCAAACTTATTCCAATAATATAAAAATAATACATGAAAAACAAATGAGGTTAATCCAGAAATGTAAGATTTTTTTAAAAATTTAAAACATTTTAAAATCAATTAACACATTCCAACAAGTTATCAAACAGAAAAGAAAAATCAATATAATCAAAAATTTCAATAAATCATCTAAGCATAAAAAAGACATAGGACTTAACAAAATACAACATTAATTCATGAAAAAAAAAAGCTCAACTAACTGGGAATAGAAGGGAATTTCTACAAGCTCACAGAATACATCAGCAAAAAAACCCACAGCTAACATCCTAATTAATTGTGAAAGACTACATGCTTTTTCCATAAGATCAGGAAGAAGACACATATGTCAATATTTATGTTCCGTTTTGTACTAGAGGTTCTAACCAGCGCAAAAACCAAGAAAAATAAACAAAAGGTATCCAAATTAGAAAGGGAGAAGCAAAATTCTATTTGTATTTATAGATGACATAATATCTAGGTAAGAAGTTTAATAAAAGCTACAAAGTCTTGAAAGGTTTAGGTGATAAGATTAATACACATGATAACGTTTGAACAGTGGGAAACTGAAATTTAGAAAAATACAATTTGAGAATCAAAAAAGATGAAATAGGGCCTCCCCAGTGGCGCAGCAGTTGAGCACTGGGTTGCGAAGCTGCCTGAAGCCTCTGCAGCACCGGTTCGTTCCCCCGCTGCCGGTGAGGTTCCCACATGGCGCGCAGACCTCTCCTGCCGCCCGCTGCTCCCCTTAGCAGTGTATTTTGTCAGTCTGCCTGTTCTGCTCCCTGCTCTGGCTCTGATGAATTCTCTCACCCTCCCGCGCTTCTGACTATACCCAGTGCTTAAATAAATAAATAAATAAATAAATAAATGTTTTGAGAATTAAAAATAAATAAATAAGATGAAATATACATTAATCTGAAAGATCTGCACAATGAAAACTCAGAAAAATTAAATTATATACCATTCATGAATTGATGACCAGTACTGCTAAGATATTTTCCCAAAATTTGTAACATTTATGAATTGATAACCAATACAGTTAAGACATATTTTTCCTTGGGCCTCCCCTGGTGGCGCAGCGCTTCAGCACTGGGCTATGAAGCTGCCCGCAGCCTCTACAGCGGCAGTTCGATCCCTGGCCACCAGCGAGGCGAGGCGTCCCACATGGAGCACAGACCTCTCCTGCTGCCCGCTGCTCCCCTCAGCAGTGTATTTCATCAGTCTGCCTGTTCTATTCCCCGCTCTGGCTCTGGTGAATTCTCTTACCCTCCCACTCTTCTGTCTGTACCCAGTGCTTGTACAAATAAATAAATCTTAAAAAAAAGAGATATTTTCCCAAAATTTACCTATATATTGAATTCATTCCTATCAGAATTCACAATCCTCTTTTATATAAATTGACAACTTTATTCTAAAATTCAAAAGAAAATACATAGGAATTAAAAGAACAAAACATTTTTGCAATAAAAGAACAAAGTGAAATTACACTCCCTGGCTTTGATTTTGAGATTATCAAGCAGTAATAATCAAATCATATGTTACTGGTGTTATGGTAGCCAAGGATACATGATGAAGAATGTGTGCAGAATGAAATTCACATGGTCAATTAATTTCAAACAAAAATGCAAAGGCAATTTGGTTGAGAGAGCTTTTACTCTTTTCAACAAATAGTGGTAGAATATATAGATATCTTTATGTAAAAAATGAACTTTGTTATATACTTTGTCCCATATACAAAATTAACTAAATATTGGATAGACCCAAATATAAAACTTTAAACTATAAAACTTATAGATGCAAACACAAGATTTTTTTAGATATGTCACCAAAAGCACAATGCTATAAAGAAAAAATTGCTATACTGGAATTTACTTTTAGGTAGAATAAATTATGGCTTCTCAGTGTTTAAAGGAATGACTGATTTACTCCTGTTTTTCTTGGATTTCTAATCACTGTTCAATTGTTATCTCTTGATATTTCTTCCATGAATGGTAATGCTATAGATTTAAACCACTCCCAATCTGCATCACCTTTCCCTAATCCCTTTTGTCACCCCAAAATCTTTTCTGATTTCCATAATTATCTAAACATTTGTTATCTTTCCCTCACCAAAATATTTGGCACTTCAAATCTACACTGCTGATTACTTTACTGATATGATGTCATAAATCCTCAGTCTTCTTATCTATTTCACTTTCCTTTTATTATCTTACTTTTCCAAGAGCGTAATTTTAGTTAAATATAATAAACAAAACCACAAGGCTCCACTCCTTCGCCAAAAAAAAAAAAAAAAACTCACTAAAATGCAATAGAATTATTTAAGTATAAATGCACATCAATAAAGAAAATAGAAAAAGGGACAACCACAAATAAAAAAAAACCAACAAAATGTAAGAAAGTAAAAAGCAGGTAAGTGGTAACTGATTAACATATCTTGAAAAGTTGAAACTTAAATGGTCTGTAAAAGGAAAGTCAAGAAGAAAAGGTAAATTTACAAAGTAAGACAAATTCAATACATCTCAGGAACTGGAGAGACCAAAATGAAGGAGTGGAAAGAATGTGGAAATAGGATTGATTCAGGGTCTATATATATATATAAACAGCAGGGAGAAGTTTAGTTTTAATTGTTCAGCCCACAAGCAGGCAAAATATACAACAAAGTTCATTTTTTACATAAAGATATCATATATTCTTCAGTCAATGCAGAAGAAAACAAAAGAGAGAAATGAATCCTTAGACACAGACACCACCAAGCAACTTACCAGAAAGAAGAGGATTAGCATTCAACCTACTTTCCCTATATGGAGGGTAAATGATTGTCAGGCTTTTCTGCCCTCTGCCATTAGAACTGATGATGGATCCCTGCAGTCCAGAAGGCATGCCTGATGGCAGGCACCTGGATTTTGTTGTTTATATTCAGTTGTATTCTACACTCACCCTTAAAAAGAGTTACCAAATAAAACATGACAAGCATTTAAATTTGAGTTTTAGATAAACAATAAGCAATCTTTACTGTATTATGTCTCAAATACTACATGCATTTTTTTAAAAGATTTATTTATACAACAACTGGGGTACAGGCCAGATGCACAGGAGGGTGAGAGGATTCACCAGAGACAGAGCGGGAAACAGAACAGGCAAACTGACGAAATATACTGCTAAGGGGAGCAGCGGGCGAGACAGGAGAGGTCTGTAGCACCATGTGGGATTCTCGCAGGCTGGCTGCAATCGAACCCGCACTGCACAGGCTGCGGATAGCTTCACAGTGCAGCTCTCAATTGTCTTCGCCACCAGGAAGGCCCTACATGCATACTTAAATGGTGGCCTATATTTTTATTTGCTGTATCTGGCTGGCAACCCTACCTTCAGACAAGAGACTAGAGATTTCCTTTCTGGGATAACCTGGCTGACCCAAGAAAAGAAATAAAAGTGATTAACATTAAGAAGTTTTCAACAAAATCCCAGATTCTTACCTAACCAAACATACCACACAAATATTTCCCATAGGAAACAGTTTTCTCAACAACCTACTAAAATCCTAACACTAGTAAGTGAAAGAAACACACAAATATTTTCTTAACTTTCCAACATAAAACTGGCTGGACTTTTTATACTCTGAATAAATATTATGAACTACAATATTTAAGTAAGATTGTGGAAATAAAGCAAAAATTCAACAACTGTTATGTATGTAATATTTCATCTTTGGTACCTTTAAAGAACAATTAACAGTGTAATTTTTGGCCTTTATATTTATCCCCTTACTTTTAAATTTTATATGATGTTTGTATAATCTTGGAGTTAAAATCCATAGTTTATCCAATGATTTTTTAAATGAATAAACATCAAAATACTAGTGTTTTAGTTATGAAATGACAGCAAAGAACAGCTACATGGTAAAATAAACCATCTGATCACTATACTAACCATTCAGAGAGGAATTCAAGAGAAGGCACATTATAGTAAAAGTATGTGTCTTAAATAGAAAACAGCAGAGATCAAGGAACACAAAGAAGGTAATAAATAAAATTTGTAACAATGATTCACAAACCTAATTAGAAAGATCATGGTTTCTGCTAAAAAAAATTTTTTTTGAAGCTCAAAAATTTCATACCTGTGACTTGAAATATCAGGAAGTATAACCCATAATTTATGATTTTTGAAACTGTCCCCTTGAGATTCTGATAAGCATCAGGATTTTGGAATCACTGCCTTAGAATGTTGACTTAGGTATACTAATTCAACAGTATGATCTATTTTCCTTAAGCCCAATTATGATACTATACATAATAAATGATGAAATTATTATTCTTACCTTGGATACATTGCTGACATAATTCACTTGGATAGTACTTTCCTTGTCAACTTGATTACAAAGATTCTGTAAAGTAGATGCATATTCTTTATCACTTTTTATTCTCAGGGCCATAAATTTCTTCACTGATTCCAGTAACCGTAATTCCCAGTCTTGCAATTTTAATACAGCTTCATGTGAATTCTTCAAGTCACTCCCAAACCCCATTTTGGTAAGGCACCGTCTTATCCTCCACACTGAACAAGTGAGCCTTCTAATCAGCACATATCTGTATATGTAAATAGAAGAAAAAAATAACCTTAAATCAGAAGGAAATTAATCTTCAAAGCAAAGTTATGGCCCATTTCTCTTAGGGTAAAAATATCACTACAACTGAATGATTATTCCCAAAATATCATGACCAACACAATATCCACCAGGATCACATCTATTCAACTTTTATTAGCAATTCTAGCCAGTAAAATGAAAAAAGACATAAAGATTAGAAAGGAAGAAAAAACACAATTTTCATTTGCAGATTACATGACATTGTATATGGAAAATTCCAAGGAAAGCAACAAAAAAGTATTATAATAAATGAGTAAGATTATAGGGTATAAGACAAATAAACAAAAATCAATTGTATTAACATACAATAGCAATGATTAATTCAAAACTGAAATTTAAAAATGATTCTATTTAAACCTCATAAAGAATAAAATATAAATTTTAAAAAGCAAATATATAACTTATACTCTTAAAGCCACAAAATAGAGTCTAAAGAAATTAAAGACCTAAAATAAAGGGAAAGACTAAAATTATACATCCAAAAGACAAAATATTATTAAGAAAACAATATTCTCCAATTTGATCTACAATCAATTCTATCCATGTTAACATTTAAATAGCTTTTAGACAGAAAATTCACACCAAATTCATACAGAAATGGAAAAGAGCCAGATTAGGCAAAAAAGAAAAAAGAAAAAGAATGAAGTTAAAGGACTCATACTTCTTGACTTCAAAACATACTGAAAAGATACAAAAATCAAGACAACGCGGTATTGGCATATGGGGAAACACAGAGATCAATGAAATAGAGTCCGCAGATAAATGTTTACATTTATGGTTAAATGATTTTCTGCACCATCCCACCCCCCAAAAAAAAGTTAACTCCAAAAGGATTATAAATATAAATATCAGAGTTTATAATTAAAAAACTCACAGAAGAAAACAGAAAAAAATCTTTACAGAAAAAAAACTTCAAAAACTTGTATCAAGTAATACTTTCTTAAATACAACACCAAAGCACAAGAAACAAAATAAAAACAGATAAATTAGATTTCATCAAACTTTAAAATTCTGTACTTCAAAGGACACCATCAAGAAAATGAAAAGGCTGAAAACAAAAAAGGTGGAGTCCTGGTCATTGTCTTAACATTCTGTTCTTTGGAGTGATGTATTTAATTTTACAGATAAGAATGGCAGCAGTTATAGTGCAAATGTTTTTTAGAGAAATGAATAGAAATAATCCATTTTGAGGAAGCTATGGCAAAATCAAATACAAAGCATAGTTTGCTTTTGGAATCTTCTTCATCTTATCTATTAAGTTCCAGTCTGAGTGGTTATATTTCTCTAAGTCTAATGACTCTTTTCATTGTAAGGACACACTATATAGCTCTGCATCTTAGGCACTAGAAACCTATAAAGATGACCATCATCTGTGCTAAATGTATTCTGGTAAAAACACTGGAAAGATTAACATTGATAAATGTTCTGCTAATATGACAGAATTTTCCAACCATATTTATACACCAAGCAATACTTTTGAAAATCATGAGCACAAAAAAAAAATCCTTGTCCTTATCCTGTAGATGACAAACTACTAATTACATAGACTCAGCCTAACAATGATAATCTATTAAAAATTCCACCAAAGGAGCACTTTCTTTCACTTACGTAAACCAAATCATCAAATTAGGAAAAAAAAAATAAGAGTCAGAAGACTGAGTTCATTGGACAATGAAAAAAAATGAAAATTTTCGAGACTCCTACCCTCCTAACCCTCCCATCCAAGGGGCAACGATCACTTAGTAACTTCTGTTGTAAACACAAATATGGCTAGAAAGCAATGTGGTAGGCTACAAAACCCAAAACCTATGAATAAGACTAACAGATGCATTTCTGAACCATCTTTTTCCAAAATAGCATTTTTTAATGATCATTCAGAACACAATTTTGAAGAGAATTACCCAAGATGGTCCACTAACCAGAAATCTGACCTCAGTGTTTCAGAGATAACTAGTATACCTGATTTCAAATATGCAGTCTGGCTCTACAATCAAGATTTGCTAGCTGACAAAATAATCAAATTATTAATATAATATTTAAAGTTTTCCCCTAGACATAGTTACCATTCACAAAGAACTTCTCAGCTTATGAAAAAATTAGATTGTTTTGAATATTCCTTTGAACACAGGTGCAAAAATCTTGAACAAAATCCTAGCAAAATGACTACAACAATGCATTAAAAGTACTATATACCATGACCAAGAGGAATCTATACCAGGGACACAAAGACAGTTCAACATCCAAAAATCAATCAACATAATTCACCATACCAACAAAAGAAAGGTAAAAACCACAAGATCATATCAACAGATGCTGAGAAAGCATTTGATAAGAGCCAACATCTTTTTTTTTTTTCTGATCAAGATTCTGTATTTATGTTTCCAGTGTGCTTTTTTTAAATATTTTTTATATCTTTTTTATGAGGAAAACCCTCAAATATCTGGATATAAACAGAGTATGTTATAACATAATAGAAGCTATTTACAACAAACCCACAACTAGTATCACTTTTAATGGTGAAAAACTGAAAGTTTTTCAGTAAATCTGGTAAAAGACAGTGATATCCACTCCCACTACTACTGTTCCACATAGCACTGGAAGTTCTAGCTAGAACAATTAGACAAGAGAAAGATATAAAAGGAATCAAAAGGTAGAAAAGGAATTGTGAAAGAAGTTATTATTTGCAGATGACAGGTGAATACACATTGCACAATCTCAAGATTCCACAGAAAAACTTATATTAGAAATAAGTCCAGCAAAGTGTCAGGGTAACACAATAATCAGCTGCCATCCTGTATACTGTTGCCATCCTGTATACAAACACTCAGAAGAGTAAGAAATGAAGAAAGTGATCCAAGATTACATCTATAAACACACACACACACACACACACACACAACCCTAGGTGTATACCTAACAAAGAAGGTAAAAGAGTTACACAGAGAACTGTAAGACACTGCTAAAAGAAATAGAAGAAGGCACAAAGAAATGGAAAAATATTCCCTGTTCATGAATTGGAAGAATCAACATTGTCAAAATGGCCATTTTACACAAAGCAATATATAGATTCAGTGCAATTGCAATAAAAATATCAATGGCGTTTTTCAAAGACATGGAGCAAACACTACTCAAACTCACAAAAGACCCTGGATAGCAAAAACAATCTAAAAAGAAGACTAAAAAGAAAGAGAATGGAGGTATCACACTTCCAGACCTCAAATTGTGTTATAAAACCATAATAAGAAGAGTCTGGTACAGAAATTAAAACAGACACATAGACCAATGGAATAGAATTGAGAGCCAAGAAAAAAATGCCACATCTATATGGACAGTTAATCTATGACAGAGGAGCTAAGAATGTACATTGGTGAAAGGAATGCCTCTTTAATAAAAGGTGTTGGGAAAATTGTATGCAATAGAAGGAAACTAGACCACTACCTCACACCATACACAAAAATCAATTCAAAATAAATAAAAGATTTGGATTTAAGACCTGACACCATAAGAACATAAAAGAAAACATAGGCAAAACATTTCATGACATAAGCTTTACTGAGCCCTTTAGGGATTCATCCCCAATGGCAAGGAAAACAAAAGAGAATATACATCAAAGGACTACATCAAATTAAAAAGCTTCGGAACTGTGAAAGAAACCACAACTAGAACAAAAAGTCACAGAATTAAGTGGGAGAAAATATTTGCACACTATAAATCTGAAAATGTACTGATACTAAAGATATGCAAATAGCTTATAAAATTCTATAAAAACAAAACAAATAACCCAATGAGAAAATGGGCAGAAAAACTAAATAGATATGTCTCCAATGATGACATAAGACTGCAAACAGGCACGGGAGAAATGTTCACCATCATTTATTATCAGATAAATGCAAATCAAAACCATAACGCAGGAAATATTTGAGAATATTAATATTTTGATATATTATTTTCCAGCTTTTAGTTTTGGGGTTAGCTCAAACTAGTAAAAATTATGAGGTTAGTGGATGATTGTTTTATGAAATTTGTAACTAAATAAAGAAAATGACTATAAAGAAATCATAATGCATGGCCTCCCCGGTGGCGCAGCGGTTGAACGCTGGGTTGCCAGGCTACTTGCAGCCTCTGCAGCACCAGTTTGATCCCCAGCCACCTGACGAGGGTCCCATATGGCGCTCAGACCTCTCCTGTTGCCCACTGCTCCCCTCAGCAGTGTACTTCGTCAGTCTGCCTGCTCTGCTCTCCCCTCTGGCTCTGGTGAATTCTCTCACTCTCCCGTGCTTCTGACTGTACCCAGTGCTTGTATAAAGAAAGGAAGAAATCTTAAAAAAAAAGAAAGAAAGAAATCATAATGAAACTGTATTTTACAACTATTTTGTTAAGAACTGAATTTTCTTTAAAAACCTGTAGTCTCTAAAGTTTCTCTTTCACTAGAACTGAACAGAGCTCTATAATTTTGCAGTTTCAAGCAAGTGAACTTCCAATAAGGATGATGCATTTTACCAACAAAGAATCAAGTTAAAAAGTAAGACTATAATGTATAATTTTAAACGCTTCATTAGGAATATGTGTGCACATATACTGCAAATTAACACCATGCCCAAATAACAGCATCTTTGCCAAGTAGCTTTATGGTCAAATAGTAATTTTTAAGTACATTGTGCTGAATAATTTGTTTTCCCTATATTGAAGCACTAAGTAATACTTCTGTTACAGAATTGAAATCTCAAAACTGTAGGGTGAGTCTTCCCTTTTTTTCCTGTGACCTGTCAGTCAAAGTCACCATACTGTTCTTTTTGCCCAATGTGAAAAGCATTTGCCAGTAAGTTTTTTTATTCTGTATATTTCTGGCATTAATATTCTATTTACTTTATAGCAAATAATTTGCATTATCAAACAATACTTTGATAATTGAAGTATAGTTTGGCTATTAAAAAAAGCAGA